AGGCAGAGGTTGCAGTGAGCCAAGACTGCACCATTGCACTCTAGCCTGGGTGGCAGAGTGAGGCTCCTTCTCAAAAAAAAAAGAAAAATCACAGGGCCCCTTATTCAAAAATGACAGATTCTGGCATGCACCTATGGTCCCATCTACTCAGGAGGCGGAGGCAGGAGGATTGCTTGAGCCCAGGAAGTCAGGGTTGCAGTGAGCTATGGTGGCACCTCTATACTCCAACCTGGGTAACAGAGCAAGACCCTATCTCAAAAAAAATTATGGGTTCCATGCTGGTGTTGGCAAAGTGTTCTGCCGAGCATCGGGCCCTCGGGACCTAGCGGGTCACAGCCTGTGGAGCCAGCCCCTCTCATGAAGGCCGGCTCCTTTTGGGGGTACGCTCAGGCAGTGACCATTTTCTCTGTCTCTCCCAGTGCCTGTCCATCGGGGTCCTGGACATCTTCGGGTTTGAAGACTTCGAGAGGAACAGTTTTGAGCAGTTCTGTATCAACTACGCCAACGAGCAGCTGCAGTATTATTTCAACCAGCACATCTTCAAACTGGAGCAGGTGCAGAAAGGACTTTTTTGTCCGTTTTTTTAACATGGTAAACTAGACATCACGTGAAATTTACCACCTTAAGCATTTGTAAATACTCAGTTCAGCCACAGTAAGTACCTTCACACATTAGCGTTCTTACGCACACATCACCACCGTACGTATCTGGAACTCTTTCAATTTGCCAAACCAAAACTCTGTCCCTAGGAAACACTCCCCCCATTCCCCCTCCTGCAAGCCGTAAACTCACCCATTTCACTTCTCGTGGTTGCTGTTTTGTTTTGAGACAGGGTCTTTCTCTGTCACCCAGGCTGGAGTGGTGTAATCATAGCTTACTGCAGCCTCAAACTCCTAGGCTCAAGTGATCCTCCTTCCTCAGCCTCCTGAGTAACTGGGACCACAGGTGCACACCAGCATGCCTGGCTAATTTTTGCATTTTTTGTAGAGATGAGGTTTTGCCATGTTGCCCAGGCTAGTCTCGGACTCCCAAGCTCCCAAGCTCAGGCACTTCTCCCACCTCGGTCTCCCAAAGTGCTGGGATTACAGGCATGAGCCACTGTGCCTGGCCCATTCTACTTTCTGTCTCTATAATTTTTGACTACTCTAAGTGCCTCATGTAAGTGAAATTAGACATTATTTGCCTTTCTGTGACTGGCTTATTTCACACAGCATAAGTCTTCATGGTTCATCCACATTGTAGCATATGTTAGAATTTCCTTTTCAAGGCTGAATAATATTCCATTTTCTAGATATACCACATTTAGTTTATCCATTCATCCTTCAGTAGACACTTGGGTTGCTTCCAGCTTTGCGCTATTGTGAATAATGCTGCTATGAACACGGGTGTGCAAATATCTCTTCGAGATGCTGCTTTCAGTTCTTTCAGGTATACACCCAGCAGTGGACTTGCTGGGCCATATGGTAATTCTGTTTTTAATTTTTCTGAAGAACCACCAGGCTGTTTCCCATAACAAACAGCTGCAGCATTTTATAAGGAAATATGTCGTTGCCCACCCAGCCCAAGGGGAAAATGGAATGAACTAGAACTGGAATCTCCCTGGAGGCCCAAATCATCAGCGAACTTGCCCCAGAATTTTTCTCAGTCAAAAGGAAAATTCCAGAAACCCCACCCAGCCCAGGATGAGGCAAATGTCAGGGATGTTTTGAGACACTGTTCATTTGGGGGCTTCTCTGTCCTAACAAAATCCTTTCGAGGGAGAGAAACAGGGTCACCTTTTAAGGATTTGCTTAGCTCAAGGACGCTGATAACCTATCTGACCTTTTTTTTTTTTTTTTTTTTTGAGATGGAGTCTCATTCTGTCACCCAGGGTGGAATGCAGCGGTATGATCTCAGCTCACTGCAACCTCCTCCTCCCTAGTTCAAGCAATTCTTCTGCCTCAGCCTCCTGAGTAGCCAGGACTACAGGCACCCACCATCACGCCTGGCTAATTTTTTGTATTTTTAATAGAGATGGGGTTTCACTTTGCTGGCCAGGCTGGTCTCAACCTCCTGATCTCAGGCAATCTGCCCACCTTGGCCTCCCAAAGTGCTGGGATTACAGCCGTGAGCCACCGCGCCCGGCCGGACGCGTCTTCACAGCTAAATAGTCAACCATCATGATTCATGTCTTCTCCTTCACATTGATGATTCTGATGGGAAAATGAAACTGGTGGGTTTATGTAAATATCCAGCTGATTTCCCTATTAAGCCTTGTGGCAGTGAAGCATCGGAAATGTAGCTGGTCAGAATTAAACTGTGCAGGAACGGTGACATACACACTAAATTGCAAAGACTTAGTACGTAAGAAAAAAGAACATAAACTGTCTTAGCTCACTGCAGCCTCAAACACTGAGATTTAGCAACTCCACCACCACAGCCTCCCGAGTAGCTGAGACTGTAGTTACATGCCACCACACCCAGCTGCTTTTTTCTTTTTCTTTTGTAGTGATGGGGTTTCACCATGGCCAGGGTGGTCTTGATCTCCTGACCTCATGATCCGCCCACCTCAGCCTCCCAAAGTGCTGGGAGTACAGGTGTGAGCCGTGGTGCCTGACCTCCAGCTGGCTTTTTATGTTTTATTTTTTGTAGAGACAGGGTTTTGTTATGTTGCCCAGGCTGTTCTTGAACTCCTGGCCTCAAGCAATCCTCCCACCTTGGCCTCTTAGTTACACGTTAACGTGATCACATTTTAGATATTCAGGGTTAAATTCAGTGTATTATCAAAGTTCATTTTGAGCCACACACAGAGGCTCATATCTGTAGTCCCAGCCACTGAGGAGGCTGAGGTGGGAGGATCACTTGAGCCCAAGAGGTCAAGGCTGGGAGACAGGACGAGACCCTGTCTCAAAAAAAAAAAAAAGTGAATTTTACCTATTTTTTTACTTTTCACGTGTGATTATTAGAAAATTTGAGGCTGGGCATGGTGGCTCGTGCTAGCAATACCAAGGCTTTGGGAGGCCAAGGTAAGAAGATTGCTTGAGGTCAGGAGTTGCAGTGACCTATGATTACACTACTGTAGTCCATCCTGGGCAACATACCGAGACCCTGTCTCTAAAAAAAAAAAATTTTCATCCCAAATGTGAAAATCCAAAAATCTGAAATGGTCCAATGAGCATTGCCTTTGAGCATCACGTAACATTGGCAGTCGAAAGTTCTGGGTATTTTTTTTATTTTGAGACGGAGTCTTACTATATTCCCCAGGCTGGTCTCAGACTCAAGCCAGGGCTCAAGCCATCCTCCCACCTCAGCCTCCCAAGTATCTAGGACGACTCGTACATGCCATCACACCTGACTAGTTTTTTTATTTTTTGTACAGAGAGGATCCTGCTGTGTTGTCCAGGCTGGTCTTGAACTCCTGGCCTCAAGCCATCCTCCCACTTTGGCCTCCCAGTTAACATAATCACATTTTGGATATGTGGTGGGCTATATGGTGTTAAATTAAGTGTATTATTAGAGTTAACATTTTTTTTTTTTTGGAGACGGAGTTTCACTCTTGTTGCCCAGGCTGGAGGGCATTGGCGTGATCTTGGCTCACTGCAACCTCTGCCTCACGGGTTCAAGCGATTCTCCTGCCTCAGCCTCCCAAGTAACTGGGACTACAGGCGTGCACCACCACACCCAGCTAATTTTTTGTGTGTGTGTTCTTAGTAGAGACGGGGTTTCACCACGTTGGCCAGCATGGCCACCATGCTCTCGATCTCCTGACCTCGTGATCCACCCACCTCGGCCTCCCAAAGTGCTGGGATTACAGGCGTGAGCCACCGTGCCCGGCCCCTATTAGAACTAATTTTAAGCCATGCTTCCGATTTTGAAGCATTTCAGATTTTTGCATGAGGGATACTCGACCTGTATGAATACATGTTACGTAGGTATTACATATCTGGGAGATGAGAAACTTACTGACCCCACACCAACCCTGCAGGAGGAGTACCAGGGCGAGGGAATCACGTGGCACAACATCGGCTACACAGACAACGTCGGCTGCATCCATCTCATCAGCAAGAAGCCCACGGGCCTCTTCTACCTGCTGGACGAGGAGAGCAAGTGAGTGTCCACACCCCGTCCATCCCAGCACATTATGCATATGGGCACTGGGTCGGGTTCTACAGCCCCCAGAGTCTTACCCCAAATCCAGACTTTCCCAAGAACTCCTTTTTACCTGGGAAAGAGGGTCTCACTCTGTCACCCAGGCCGCAGTGTAGTGGTGCGATCATAGCTCACTGCAGCCTCGACCTCCGGGGCTCAAGTGATCCCCCGACGTGAGCCTCCGAGTCGCTGGGACTACAGGGTCACATCACCACTCCCGGGTAATTTTTCTATTTCTTTGTTTACTTTTTGAGGTGGAGTCTTGCTCTGTCACCCAGGCTGGAGTGCAGTGGCGCGATCTCAGCTCACCGCAACCTCCGCCTCCCGGGTTCAAGCGATTCTCCTGCCTCAGCCTCCCGAGTAGCTGGGATTACAGGCGCATGCCACCCACCGCACCTGGCTAATATTTTGTATTTTTAGTAGAGTCGGGGTTTCACCGTGTTAACCAGGATGGTCTCAATCCCCCGACCTTGTGATCCACCCACCTTGGCCTCCCAAAGTGCTGGAATTACAGGCGTGAGCCTCCACGCCCGGCCTAATTTTTGTATTTCTTTATGGCAACAGGGTTTCGTCACATTGCCCAGGCTGGTCTTGAACTCCCGAGCTCAAGGGGTCCTCCCACCTCAGCCTCCCAGAGTACTGGGATTACAGGCGTGTGCCACCACGCCAGGCCTTGTCCTGAGAATTTCTGTCTCTTGATTTCACTGGGCCACAAAACCAAAGCTTGTGTGTGCGAAATGCACAAACACCTCACTGTGAAAATATCAACACGTGTGATTAATTGTGCACTTGGACACACCTGCCAGGAATTTTCAGCAAAGGATTATGGGCCTGTGTCTAGAAACTAGAGATGGGGGCGGGCGTGGTGGGGCATACCTGTGGCCCCAGCTACTCAGGAGGCTGAGGCAGGAGGATCGCTTGAGCCTGGGAGGTCGAGGCTGCAGTGCACTATGATCATATCACTGCACTCCAGCCTGGGCAGCGAAGCAAGAGACAGGATTGGCAAGTCCTTGCAAAGGGCAGTGCAGTGTGTGGAGCCGCGACCTGGATGCTGCCGGGCTCGGGGTTCACTACTGAGCCTTCACGCCTCTTCCCCGCAGTCCACAGGGCGCCATGATGGCAGACAGGGAGGCCGATAAAGTGCCTCATTCCAGGTCACCCAGTTGTAGTGACTGAAATCACATGACACTGACCAAACTACTTTCCTGTGGCTCCCCTAAGGAATCACTACAAGCCAGGTGGGCTCTTGAGCCCAGGAGTTCAAGACCAGCCTGGACAACATAGAAAGATTCCATCTCAGCTAGGCGTGGTGGCTCACGCCTGTAATCCCAGCACTTTGGGTGGCTGAGGCAGACGGATCATAAGGTCAGGAGTTCAAGACCAGCCTGACCAACATGGGGAAACGATGTCTCTACTTAATATACAAAATTAGCCAGGCACAGTGGCGCATGCCTATAATCTCAGCTACTCAGGAGGCTGAGGCAGGTGAATCGCTTGAACCTGGGAAGCAGAGTTCTTAAAACCACAGGAGTCTATTGTCTTATGGTTCTGGAAGCTGGAAGTCTAAAGTCAAAGTGTCTGCAAGACCCCGCTCCCTCCAGAGGCTCCAGGATAGGACCTTGCTTGCCTCCTCCAGCTTCTGGGAGACCCGGCTTTCCTTGGCTTTTGGCCACATCGCTCCAGCCCCTGCCTCCCTCTGCACACGGATTTCTTCCCTCTGTCTCCATCCCTCATCTCAGTCCTGTCTCCTCCTCTTTTTTTTTTTGAGACAGGCTCTTGTTCTGTTGCCCAGGCTGGAGTGCAGTGGCACAACCTCAGTTCACTGCAGCCTCCACCTCCCAGGCTCAAGCCATCCTCCTGTCTCAGCCTCTGAAGTGCCCGGGACCACAGGCATGTGGCACCACACCCAGCTAAGTTTTCTTGTTTTTTTTTTGAGATGGAGTCTTGCTCTGCCGCCCAGGCTGGAGTGTAGTGCCACCATCTTGGCTCAAGTTAACTGACGTCATCTCAGCTCAGTGTAACCCCCATCTCCTGGAATCAAGTGATTCTCCTGCCTCAGCCTCCCAAGTAGCTGGGATTGCAGGTGCCTGTCACCACACCCAGCTAATTTTTGTATTTTTAGTAGAGATGGGGTTTTTTCACCATGTTGGCCAGGTTGGTTAAAAATTTTTTTTTTCAGAGATGGGATCTCCCTATGCTGCCCAGGCTGGCCTCGAACTCCTGGGCTGAAGCATTCCTTTCAGCTTGACCTCCCAAAGTGCTGGGAGCATAGGTGTGAGTGACCACACCTGGCCCTGTCTCCTCTTTTTAGAAGGACGCCAGCCATGTAGAACTAGGACCCACGCTAATGACCTCAGCTTACCTAATTCCATCTTCGAAGACCCTATTTTCTAAATAAGGTCACATTCAAAGCGACGACTGGGGGTTAAGACATGCACATATTGTTGGCCAGGCGCAGTGGCTCACGCTTATAACCCTAGCACTTTGGGAGGCCGAGGCGGGTGGATCACAAGGTCAAGAAATCAAGACCATCTTGGCCAACATGGTGAAACCCCATCTCTTACTAAAAATACAAAAATTAACTGTGCATGGTGGCGCACGCCTGTAGTCCTAGCTACTAGGGAGGTTGAGGCAGGAGAACGGCTTGAACTTGCGAGGTGGAGGTTGCGGTAAACCAGTGTTGCGCCACCGCACTCCGGCCTGGCAGCAGAGCGAGACTCTGCCTCATAAGAAAGACATACACATATTGTTTCATCAGCAGCTCTATCAGATCCATCCCTTGTCAGTGACATCTCCAAGGGGCTGACCAGTCTCAAATGAATCAGGCACATCTCCTGCCTCAAACCTAGTTCCTGTCCAGGACAGGGGAACAGACACATCCCCTTGAGGCTGGGGTCCAGGTCGAGAATCCCAACACTGGTAATTCCACCTGTAATTCCAACACTCTGGGAGGCCGAGGTGGAGGATCACTTGAGACCAGGAGTTAAAGACCAGCCTGGGCACCATAGCAAGACCCCATCTCTGCAAAAATAAAAATAAAAGTAAAAATAAATTAGCTGGGCACAGTGGCATGTGCTTACAGTCCCAGCTACTCAGGAGGCTGAGACAGGAGGATCACTTGAGCCCAGGGAGTCAAGGCTGCAGTGAGTTGCGGTTGCACTATTGCATTCTAGCCTGGGCAACAGAGCAAGACCCCAACTCTAAAAATTAAAAAAAAAAAAAAAAAAAAGTAGAGTCAGCAATAGGAGGAGTTACGTCGTCACAACCCAAAAACTCCCTGGGCCGGATCAGGGGAAGCCCGTGGGGCAGGGCCTGGCCCAGCAGACTCAGGTCTCTTTGTTTAAAATCTTGCTATTTTTGTTCGTCATGGAATTTTTTTTTCTTCTTGAACATTGATTTGGATTTTCTGAGATCGTGTGCTAAAATATTATCTCAACAACTGAGGGTTTAGGGGGACACTCAAGGCAGATAGATACCTCGCACTCCACACCCTGTTCACAGTCCTGGACATGATGTGTTTCCTAGCTGCAGACTCTCCCCTCCTCGGCTCTGTGAACTCGTAGCCCCGGGGTTGGGATCTGGGCGTGCGTTCCAGTGCCTGTATTTTCAAAAGTGAGGCCGGGCTCCGGCAGGGTGTGCCAAAACAGCAGCAGCATTTCCCTCCTGGGAGGCAGAGGCAGTCAGGTACAAGGAGTCCCTTGTTCTGCCCGCACAACCTCACGGTCCCTGGAGCAGACCAGAGCCCGGCTTCCTGATCCTCTCCCACCTCTCCTTCCAACTGTGGAGCAGGAGAAGGACCTCCCGTCGAAGGCATGGCATTCAGGTACAAATGGCTCCAAGACCAGAAATCACCCAGGCCCAGGATTATTCTTAGGAGCTGCCCACGATGGGTCACAGATCCAGACCCCACCAAGCCTGGTCAGCGACTTCACTCCAAGCCCCCTAGAAAGCAGCCATGTGGGGCGAAGAGAATGTTACCCAGCCTCTGGGTAACATCAGGCTACTCAGCGTTAATTTTGTAGCCCTGGCTGGGCTCCCACCCCTCTGCCCACGGAGCCCTGGGCCAATTCACTGCTCTGCCCACCCCATGCACCCACCCACCTCGTGCACCAGAGGTCTGCAAGGTAAAATACACAGCAGATAAATCATGCCCTGCCACCATTCATGCCACAAAGGTTCCGTGTTCTGTTCCCAGCTTCCCCCATGCCACGAGCCAGACCCTGCTGGCCAAGTTCAAACAGCAGCACGAGGACAATAAGTACTTCCTGGGGACCCCAGTCATGGAGCCAGCCTTCATCATCCAGCACTTCGCAGGGAAGGTGAAGTATCAGATCAAGGTAGGTGTCTGCTCGTCACCATGGGCAGAAGCCTGAGGGAAGCCACGATCGGCCCAGAAGCCCACGTGGGAGGATCCTCCTACGGGCAAGATTCCAGGGTTCTAAGAACACACCCCGAGTCCCCGGCTCCAATATCCAAGGCGCCATAGCTCAAGAACTGCGATTTGCACTTAGGTTGGTCCCCACCCCATGCCAGCCCTTCCTGCGCCAGCCCTGGGTCTTTGGTAGGCACCAGTGAATGACTGCCCCCCAGTGACCGCCCACATCGATCCCCCACCAGGACTTCCGGGAGAAGAACATGGACTACATGCGGCCGGACATCGTGGCCCTGCTGCGGGGCAGCGACAGCTCCTATGTGCGAGAGCTCATTGGCATGGACCCTGTGGCCGTGTTCCGCTGGGCCGTGCTCCGGGCCGCTATCCGGGCGATGGCCGTCCTCCGGGAGGCCGGACACCTGCGGGCCGAGCGGGCCGAGAAGGCTGCAGGTGGGAGCCGGGGCGTGGACCCACAGGAGCATCACTGTCGAGAGGGGGGCACATCCAGAGTTCATCTCGAAGTGAACGTTTCAGTGGCCTTTAGTACATTTGTTGTCGTGCAGACGCCACCTGTCTACCTGCAGAAACTCGACCTGTGTGTGTAATTTAACCTCGGGGCATGCTATCAGCAACTCCATCTGGCCTCTCCTTTGCCGGCCGGTGATGACCCCTGATCCCGCTGGCCCTGGGAGTTTGCTGATTGTGATGATGTAGCTCTTCCTGGTGCCCGGCCTCTATATTCTCTTCTTTCTCGCTATCTCCTTTTTTTTTTTTTTTTTTTTTTTTTTAAAGAGACAGGGTTGGCTAGGCACCATGGCTCACGCCTATAATCCCAGAGTTCCTGACTAGCCTGGGCAACACGGTGAAACCCCATCTCTACTAAACTACAAAAAATTAGCTGGGTGTGGTGGCGTGCACCTATAATCCCAGCTGCTCGGGAGGCTGAGGCAGGGGAATTGGCTTGGACCCGGAAGGCAGAGGTTGCAGCGAGCTGAGATCTCACCACTGTACTCCAGCCTGGGCAACACAGCAAGACTCCATCTCAAAGCACCCCCCGCCAAAAAAAAAAAAAAAGAGAGAGAGAGACCCCGTCTCTCTCTTTCTCACCCAGGCTCTAATTTAATGACAAGATCTTGGCTAACTGCAACTTCCATCTCTCGGGTCCAAGTGACTCTCCTACTTCAGCCTTCCCAAGTAGCTGGGATTACAGGTGTGCACCACCACACCAGGCTAATTTTTGTATTTTTAGTAGAGATGGGATTTCACCATGTTGGCCAGGCTGGTCTCGAACTCCTGACCTCAAGTGATCCCGCCCGCCTTAGACTCAGGAAGTTCTGGGATTACAGGCGTGAGCCGCCGTGCCCAGCCCCAGCTTCTTTTATCTGAACATTCTCTACCAAGAACCCAGCCTCAAGGGGACATTTCTGTTTCCCTGTGCTAGACAGAGATGGTTTGAGGCGGGGGGTGTACCTGATCCACTTGAGACTTTGGCCAGCCCTGTAGAGTTGCCGATAGAGGGATGACAGAAAGCTATGTCCTCACTTTTCCTGCAGGCAACCTGAGGCCTGCACGGTCCAGTGGTTCACCTGGGTCTAAGGGTCCGACCTTCTGTCCTCAGCTTCAGTTTCAGTTACCAGCTGTGGCTTCTGTCTCCGGAAGGGGGTTGATGAAAAGGAGGAAGAATAAAGCTTTCATGAGAAATAGAAAATAGTGCTCTGTTCGGGGGATCCAAAACTTCAGCTTCCTGACTGCCCAAACTCGAGTCATGAGCTGCTTAAGATGGGTCAGCCGGGCACAGTGGCTCACACCTGAAACCCCAGCACTTTGGGAGGCTGACGCAGGCAATCGCTTGAGGTCAGGAGTTCAAGACCAGGCCAACCCAACATGGTGAAACCCCATCTCTACTAATACAAATATTAGCCAGGCGTGGTGATGCGTGGCTGTGGTCCCAGATGCCACAGGGAGGCTGAGGCAGGAGAATCATTTGAACCCGAGAGGCAGAGGTTGCAATGAGCCGAGATTGGGCCAGTGCACTCCAGCCTGGGTGACAGAGCAAGACTCTGTCTCAAAAAATAAATAAATATCCTGAGAGCTAGACTGAAGTGATTGTTAAAGAAAAAAGAAAAATTAAAATAATAAATAAATAAATAATAAGATGGGTCAAAGTGTCCGGGTGCAGTGGGGCACACTGGTCAGTAGTCGTAGCACCTTAGGAGGCCAATGCAGCTCTCTTGAGGACAGGTGTTTGAGACCGGCTGAGGCCACTAGTGAGACCCCATCTCTCCAGAAAAGTTGAAATTTAGTCACGTGTGTCAGCATGTGCCTGTAGCCCCAGCTACTTGGGAGGCTGAGGCAGGAGGATCGCTGGAGCCCAGGAGTTGGAGGTTATGTACGCTATGATCACACCACTGCACTGCGGCCTAGGCAACACAGCAAGACCCTGTCGGTAAAAATCTTAAAAAAAAAAAAAAAAAAAAGGGCGGGGGTTCTCGGTGGCTCGCGCCTGTAATCCCAGCACTTTGGGAGGCCAAGGTGGGCGGATCACCTGAGGTCAGGAGTTCAAGACCAGCCTGGCCAACATGGTGAAACCCTGTCTCTACTAAAAATGCAAAACTTAGCCGGGCACAGTGGCCTGTAGTGCAAGCTACTCAGGAGGCTGAGACAGGAGAATCGTGTGAACTTGGGAGGTGGAGGTTGCAGTGAGCCGAGATCACATCACTGCGTTCCAGCCTGAGTGACAGAGCGAGACTCCGTCTCAAATAAATAAATAAAATGGGTTAAAATGGTTGCGGCCTCTGCAGGAGGCCATCCCCACCACCATCCGCTCTGTGTCCCCAGCAGGTATGAGCAGCCCTGGTGCCCGAAGTCACGCGGAAGAGCTGCCAAGAGGAGCCAGCACCCCTTCGGAAAAACTTTACCGGTGAGCAAGACCCTGATTCGTCCAAACTGAAATGGTTAGGCAGCAGCATTGCTTCAAATAACTCAGGGGTTTCTACGTTCTAAAGCCAGGTTAAGGTTGCTGCGAATATCTGAATCAGTCACTTGAGTGGCCGTTTGAACCAGAAAGACCCAGGACCAAGCAGCACTGGATGGTTCTGCTTTTCTGGACACAGAATAGCAGGCCTCGGTGCGTGATGCGCTTCAGGGAGATGGGAGGGGGCTCAGTTTACAAAGGATCCATTTTATGGCCTAGGGTGGGCACTGGGAGGTGGGGCCCAGGCATTGCTGGTGATACAGAGACGGGCTTGATTGATCGGAGAGTTCCTCCCCCATCCTGCCCAGGACGCCCTGAAAGTAGTTCTGCCAAGTTACTTCATTTACAGACAGAAACATACCCTCCGGTGTTGCGCATGAGATGACACGGGGTCTTCTGTGGACCCTAGCAATGACCACGGGCCCTGCGCGCACCCAAGCATGTGCCAGCACCAGGGCAGAAAAGTGAGCAGGCTAGCCGGACATGATGGTGCACACCTGTAATCCAGCACTTTGGGAGGCCAAGGCAGGCAGATCACCTGAGATCAGGAGTTCAAGACCAGGCTGGCCAACATGGCAAAACCTTGTCTACTGAAAATACAAAAACTAGCCAGGCAGGGTGGCGGGTGCCTGTAATCCCAGCTACTGGAGAGGCTGAGGCAAGAGAATCACTTGAACCCGGGAGGCAGAGGTTTCAATAAGCCGAGATCAGATCACACCACTGTACTCCAGCCTGGCTGACAGAGCGAGACGCTGTCTCAAAAAAAAAAAAAGTTTTTAGAATTGCCTTTTTCACCCAAAATGGGACATAAGAAAGGAGAATGCACTCCTCTGGTTTTTTTTAAACCCCCAAGTTCCCAACAGCTAGAAAGCTTCCATTCCAGTGATATAATCACAGCTCACTGCAGCCTCGACCTCCGGGGCTCAAGCAGTCCTCCCTCCTCAGCCTCCAAGTAGCTGGAACCACAGGCACACGCCACCATGCCTGGCTGGTTTTTTCTTTTATAAAGATGGGGTCTGATTATGTTGCCCAGGCTAGTCTTGAACTCCTGGCCTCAAGCCATCCTCCCACCTCAGCCTCCCAAAGTGATGGAATTACAGGCACGAGCCTCCACACCCAGTCCTCCTTTTTCCTTGCCTCCCTTACCCTAAAGACAAAGTGACTTCTGACCTGCAGTAGCAGAAGCAGCATCCGTCTCCCCAGGGCCTGGCCACAGGGCTGCGGGTCCCACCCCAGGAACATGTTAAGTTTATACAGATTCTCCCTTTCAGCTGCTCAATGCTAGATTTCTCATTTGACGGCTCTGAGGAGTTCGATATTAACGCTTTTGAGGACATCATTGCTTTCTATGAAAGCAAGAAGTAAGTGCAGAAAGGCTTTGATCCCGAGGCCAGCGAGGCACAGAGAGGAGCCATCTTCCCCAGGCGCTCAGTGCTGCATCCAAGGCACAGACAGAGAGGACCTGCCATTCAGGGAATGCCAGGGCCCTCGGGGGACGCTCCCACCAGATTTGCAGATTTAGCCGGGTCGGAGGGCTGGGGATGGGCCAAAGTCAAGGGCCGCGTTCCAAGCCATGGCCGCTGCACTGACCACCCTGGGTGTGGAAGCCACTCGAGTGTAGAGGTGATGGGTGACCCCTCTGTTGCCTTTGCTCTGCCTCCCTGGAAGGCTGGGGAGAGCAGGTAAGTGGGGCCATGCGGGCACTTGGCATGGTGCATGGAGCACAGGGGCTGGGGTTGGGTCCCTCCAGGCCACCTGCCCAGAGCTAAAACATGTGCTTTGAACCACTGTCAGCAGGGCATGGTGCCACGTGCCTGTCATCACAGTGCTTTGGGAGGCCGAGGCGGGAGGATCGTTTGAGGCCAGGAGTTTGAAACCAGCCTGGGCAACATAGCAAGACCCCACCCCTACAAGAAAAAATAAGTAAAATGTCTGGAATAAGAAATTCAAAAAAAACCCAACAACAACAACAACAAAAAAAAAAAAAACAGGAAAAACCAGATCCTCATCTCTAAAAGTTCTCTCAAAAACGTGTCATTTAGACATTCCTCACTATACTCAGTTTGAAAGCATCCAGTTTTCATCTCCAAGACATTCCCATTCACACGTGGTGTCACCTCCAGCGTGCATGCCCAAGCCTAAGCCCACAGCCATTAAACAAAACAAAGGGAGTAAGGTGGAGTGCTTTGAGGGTGACTATCCCCTTAAACTAGGGCTTCTCTAGCCGGGTGCAGTGGCTCACCCCTGTAATCCTAGCACTTTGCAGGAGGCCGACTTGGGCGGATCACTTGAGGTCGGGAGTTCAAGACCAGCCTGGCCAATGGGGCAAAACCCCGTTCTCTACTAAAAATACAGAAATTAGCCAGGCATGGTGATGGGCGCCTGTAATCCCAGCTACTCAGAAGCCTGAGGCAGGAGAATCACTTGAACCTGGGAGGCAGAGGTTGCAGTCAGCCAAGACTGCACCACTATCCTCCAGCCTGGGCAACAGAGCAAAAAACAAAAAAAGAGAAAATGAGGTTTCTCAACCTCAGCACTGTGCCAGGTCCTTCTCTGGGGTGGGCATCTGATCTGTGCACTGTAGGGTGTTGAACAGCCTCCCTGGCCGCCACCCACCAGATGCCAGGAGAGTACCGCTGCCCCCAAGTCGTGACAACTGTGAATGCAGACATTGGCAAATGTCCCCTAATGGGAATGGTACCACCCCATTTGAGAACTACTGTGTTCAACCTGTGGCTCACGTATTCAAATTAATTCCTCCAAAGGCCTTAGTAAAGCCAACAAGGAGATTGACATCTGGCCACAAAATCCTGGAGAGAGACTAATTTGCTCCTCCTGTACAGACCCTAGGTTCTTATTTTCTGAGCAACTCCTAGCTGCCTTTTTTTTTTTTTTTTTTTTTTTTTTTTTTGAGACAGAGTCTTACTCTGTCGCCCAGGCTGGAGTGCAGCACGCAATCTTGGCTCACTGCAACTTCCACCTCTCCGCCTCCCAGGTTCAAGCGATTCTCCTGCCTCAGCCTGCCGAGTGACTGGGACTACAGGCACGTACCACCATGCCCAGCTAATTTTTGTATTTTTAGTAGAGACAGGGCTTCATCATGTTGGCCAGGCTGGTCTTGAACTCCTGACCTCAGGTGCTCCACCCACCTCGGCCTCCCAAAGTGCTGGGATTACAGGCGTGAGCCACCTCGCCCAGCCTGTCATGGAATTTAAAAAATTAATAGGGCAGGTGCAGTGGTGCATGTCTGTAATCCCAGCACTTGGGAGGCTGAGGCAGGAGAATCGCTTGAACCAGGAAAATGGAGGTTGCAGTGAGCTCAGATCGCACCACTGCATTCCAACCTGGCCGACAGAGCAAGACTCTGTCTCAAAAAAATTAAAATAAATTTAAAACTAAATAAATATCCCAAAGGCTCTTAAATAAGAGAACATTTTCAGTGATCCATATGAAAAGAATGGATTGAAGTGGAATGATCCGATGGAAATTATCTTTTTTTTTTCTTGGAGACAGAGTCTTGCTCTGTTGCCTAAGCTGGAGTGTAGTGGTGCGATCTTAGCTCACTGCAGCCTTCGCCTCCCAGGTTGAAGCAATTCTCCGGCCTCAGCCTCCCGCATAGCTAGGATTACAGGCGCCCTCCACCACACCTGGCTAATTTTTTTTGTATTTGTAGCAGAGACGGGGTTTTGCCATGTTGGCCAGGCTGGTCTCGAACTCCTGACCTCAGATGATCCACCCACCTCAGCCTGACAAAGTGCTGGGATTACAGGCGTGAGCCACCGCGCCTGGCCAGAAACAACCTAATAAAAAAGACCAATGATCCGTGTTGCCAGGTCCAGTTTGCCTCAAAGCCCCACCCTGCTCCAGGGATTGGGGAGGCTGGCCCAGTCCCCCTTTTTGGCAAAGGAGAGAGGGGCAGCATGGAGCACAGTGTCTTTCCCCAGCTGCATGTTGTGGCTCCAGTGGCCTGGGGACAGTCCCAATGGCTCTGGGAACCCTGAGGTGGCAGGCCTACAGCTCTAACTCCATCTTCTTTCTGTCACTGCGCCCCCTCGACCCTTCCCCTCAGTGATTTGCATAACCAAATGATCAAGAGCATCAAAGGATTGCCCTGGCAGGGCGAGGACCCCCGTAGGCTTCTCCAGTCCCTCAGTCGGCTCCAGAAACCCCGCGCCTTCATCCTGTGAGTCCCCCCTTTCCAAGGCCCTGCTTACAAGTGCAACAGCCGCCTCCTCCTACTCCCGCGACTGCCTAAGTTGCATCAGCCACTAAAACCACAGTGCTGTCTCATGGCTTACCCCCCGGCCGTCACTAAATGCCAATCAGTAACTCCCCTGGCCGCTGTCTGCACTGTAGCCCAGGCACGGGCGCTTCCCAGCACATGGCGCAGCCTCCCAAGTGCACTCCTTCCCAGAGTCATCTGATTTGCTACCTGCAAACACGCCGTCCTCCGTCTCCTCCGCGTGCCTGTCTGACTTGCAGAGCAAAGCTTGCCCCCGCCTTTGCCACTGTGAGCTTGCAGAGAAGCTGTCTGAAGCAGGGAATGCCATTTCTCCAGGGGACGGCCCTGCGCGCTGCAGATGGCCACGTGAGCCGGTTGGGAGAGCCCCAAAGGTGCATAAACCGGGTTGGGATCCCGACTGTTAGCGCACCGTGGAACCCAAGCGTTCTCTGCTTTTGGCCTCCAAATGCGGTAGTGACTCTCATGCTTCCATTATGCTGACCAGCACCAGGCAGGCAGCAGCCTCAGCTGACAGGACATCCACATGCGGTCACCACATCCCGCCTTTTAGTAGCCATTGGGACATGGGCTGGCTGAGTGTAAGGAACTGCACCTGCATGGGAACCAGTTTATTTATTTATTTATTTTCTTTTTTAAGGGATGGGGGTCTCATTCTGTTGCCCAGGCTAGAGTGTGGCAGTGACGCGATCACCGCTCCCTGCAGCTTCTACCTCTTGGGCTCAAGCAATCCTCCTGCCTCAACCTCCAGAGCAGCTGGAGCTACAGGCGAGCACCACTACACCTGTCTAATTTTATTGTCTGTAGAGGTGGAGTCTTGCTATGTCGTAGCCCGGGCTGCCAGGCTGGTCTCAAACTCCTGGGCTCACGTGATCCTCCTGCCTTGGCCTCCCAAAGCACTGAGATTACAGGCATGAGCCACCACGCCCAGCGGGAGCCTGTTTCAAACTTTTCTTCTTTTTTATTTTTTATTGTTTCGAGGTGGAGTCTCACTCTGTCACGCAGGCTGGAGTGCAGTGGCTCAATCTTAGCTCACTGCAACCTCCACCTCCCGGGTTCAAGTGATTCTCCTGCCTCAGCCTCCCAGGTAGCTGGGATTACAGGCCTACACCACTACACCTGGCTAATGTTTTTGTATTTTTTAGTAGAGATGGGGTTTCACTATGTTGGCCAGGTTGGTCTCAAACTCCTGACCTCAAATGATCCGCCCACCACAGCCTCAGACTTTTGTTCTTGTTATGCCTTATTTTACCCCACAGGGACCCAGGGGAAACTGAATGCAACCTTGAAGGGCTAAGCATCTCACAGACCTGCAAGATACCACCTCCTTAGCCGGCCTTCAGAAGGCACCAGGCCTTTCGAATAAATATTTACTTATGTTATTTTCCCCTTGGTCCCTAAGATTCCATAAGGTGTCTGTGAACACAGGGGCTGTCCCCTCCTTTACCTCAGCCAAAAGAGCAGCTTTGAGTTTTGGGTCTTTTTTGAGACGGTCTTGCTCTGTTGCCCAGCCTGGAGCACGGTGGCATGATCTCGGCTCACTGCAACATCCGCTTACTGAGCTCGGGCGATTCTCCTGCCTCAGCCTCCCAAGTAGCTGGGATTATAGGCACCCGCCACCACGCCCAGCTAATTTTTGTATTTGTAGGAGAGACGGGGTTTCACCATGTTGGCCAGGCTGGTCTTGAACTCCTGAGCTCAGGTGATCTGCCTGCCTTAGCCTCCCAAAGTGCTGGGATTACAGGTGTGAGCCACGGTGCCTGGCCAGCTTTGGTTTTCTTCTTTCCCACCAGCATGAGCCTGAAAGGAGCTCCTACCCAGGCCCCACTTTGGTTCTTTTGCAGGGCAAGTCCCTGCCCTGCTGTGCCCTGCCAGTGGAGAGTTCCAGAAGGGCCTCCGTGTGCCTGCTTGGCATCTGCCAGCACATGGCAAAGACAGCCTGGTCACCTGGTCTCCACCAGGACAGCTCAGCCTCCCTCGGTACCCTGTTCAGGGTATCCTGCCATTATTTGGGGGTTATGTCAGTTCATCCATAGCGAGTCCTGTTCAACGCACGCCCCACCCTGTAGATTACTAGCCAATCCTTCCTACTTCTCAGACATCCAAATGGCCCCCAGACCAAATGTTCTTGTCAGCCTTGGGGCAGCCACCAGCAGAGTCAGGCTGCTGCTTTCCCAGGGAAACTGGTGTCCCAGACAGTGGCGGAGGCACGCCGAGGAATGCGGCGTGGAGAGGCGGCGGCGGCTCTGTTGCACTTGACACCTTCTCACTCTTTGTCCCCTCTCTCTGTCTCTTAGTCTAACCCGCAAGGCGTGGCTTGCTGAACTAACCCAAATCCCGACACTGTGTTCCTTTTGTTCACAAAACCATTTTTAATATTTTGACAGGAAAAGTAAAGGTATCAAACAAAAGCAGATCATTCCAAAGGTAAAAAAAAAGAACACACCCCGCGCGACACATTCCAAGACGTCTCACTTCTCTGCCCATCTTGAGAACTGTCCCTTCTGCCGCTTCTTTTATTTCCTGCTCCTTCCCACTATCTCCCCCTCCCTCCAAGGAAAAAAAATAATGTTCTCGTGTTGAGATGATTTAGAGCTGTCTCTTTCTGGATCTCCCAGAAGCAGGGTCTGAGACGGGGATATTTACACACAGCGGCGTATGGCGGGGGGTTTGCAGGAGAAGGCAGAGAGCAAGGAGGAGGGAGGAAGCCAGAGGTGTGAGCACAGCTGAAGTCTGACCTCAGTCTGGTCCCACGGGGATTTCTGGCGATTCATAGCGCCACAGGGCTCATTCTGCCCCCAGGTAGTGGGACATCTTCAGTCCCTGGCTATGGAGCGGCTTCCAGATGGGACAGGAAGCACCTCCCAGGGGCTCCGTCTAGTTTCCACATGCAAGCGCAGTCATTTAGGAAATTTGCGAAAAGAGTAAGAATAGCCTCGCCGTCTAGTTAGCAGATGGGACGGGGCTAGTTCCTCTTGTCAGCAATAGAGCTGGCTGACACGGGGGGGGGACCTGTCCAGTGATCTCATGCAGAGGACAGAAAGGACCTGGCCCTTCTTGGCTCAAGCAATGTAAATTGTACGAGCTGTGCAGAGGAGAGGGACGGCCAGGTTCGGTAGCACTGGCTTCCTCTCCTAACCCAGAGGAAGAGGAAATGGGGCAGCCACGCAGGCTGTGAGAGAGGCTGTCATCAGCCCTCCCGGAACCAGCGCTGTGTGCAAGGTGCAACCCCAGCTCATTCCACTGGGCCGGCACCAGCAGCGCGGTCCTGAGACCAAACCTAAGAGCTGCCGCCCGGGCGCTTGCTGCGGGGACGCCATTCTGCCCTGGCTGCGGGGACGCCTGTGACGCCTCCCCGTGCCCGTGTGGGCTGCGGGAGGGCAGGCCGGACCCCATGTGTCTGTCCTAGAACCTGCTGGACTCCAAGTCCCTGAAACTCATCATCAGCATGACCCTGCACGACCGCACCACCAAGTCCTTATTGCATCTGCACAAGAAGAAAAAGCCACCGAGCATCAGCGCCCAGTTCCAGGTAGGCAGAGCAGGAGGGGTGGGAGGCGGCAGTCAGCTCAGCCACATGCTTGTGTGGCTTCCCCCAACACCCTGCACAGACAGCTCATCAGTTACTCCAAGGGCTCCCACTGAGGCACCACAAGCAGCTGGGGCCCGATGTTTCTCTTCCACGCACTGCAGGGAGTTGTGTGTGTGTGTGTGTGTGTGTGTGTTTGTTTGAGACGGAGTCTCGCACTGTTGCCCAGGCTGTAGTGCAATGGCACGATCTCGGCTCACTGCAACCCCCGCCTCCTGCGTTCAAGCAATTCTCCTGCCTCAGCCTCCCGAGTAGCTGGGACTACAGGCGGGCACCGCCACGCCCAGCTAATTTTTTTTGTATTTTTAGTAGAGATGGCACTTCACCATGTTGGCCTGGATGGTCCTGATCTCCTGACCTCGTGATCTGCCCGCCTCGGCCTCCCAAAGTGCTGGGATTACAGGCCTGAGCCACCGCGCTCAGCCTGTTGTTTTGTTTTTGAGACACGGACTTGCTCTGTCACCACGCTGGAGTGCAGTGGCGTGATCTCCCAGGTTCAAGCGATTCTCCTGCCTCAGCCTCCCAAGTAGCTAGGTTTATGGGTGTGCACCACGACGCCTGGATAATTTTTTACATTTTTAGTACAGACAGGGTTTTGCCATGTCGGCCATCCTCGACTCAAGTGATCTGCTCACCTTGGCCTCCCAAAGTGCTGGGATTGCAGGCATGAGCCACCATGCCCAGCCCACTCTGGGGTTTTTAGTCTCCCTGGTTGTGACAGCCAACTAGGCCACCATTTGTCCCTGAGGAGCAAAATTATCCCTGGTTGGTTAAGAATTACTGAGTTAAAAGAATCATCAGTTAATGTGGCCACTGAGCTATGTCCTCAGGTCATATTTCCCTTTTTCCCTGGCTGCCAGGAGGCTCAGGGACACATTTTATTTGTTTGTTCATTTGTTTTACTTAGGGCATCCACCAGCTGCCAGCCCTCTTCCTTAGCTTTTTTGTTCTTTTCCTCTTTCCTCAATCTGATTGTTCTGTTCCCACCTCGGCTTTTTTGGTAACCGCCTAATATGGGAGCTCCTTCAAATCCTTTTTGGAAACAGCAGGCCAGGGACAAAAACCATGACATTCGGCCAGGTGAGGTGGCCCACGCCTGTAATCCCAGTGCTTTGGGAGGCTGAGACAGGTGGATCATCTGAGGTCAGGAGTTCGAGACCAGCCAGGCCAACATGGTGAAACCCCATCTCTACTAAAAACACAAAAAATTAGCCGGGCATGATGGTGGGTGCCTGTAATCTCAGCTACTCGGGAGGCTGAGGCAGGAGACTCGCTTGCACCCAGGAGGCGGAGGTTGCGGTGAGCGGAGATCACACCACTGCACTCCAGCCTGGGCAACAAGAGCAAAACTCTGTCTCAAAAAACAAAAAAAAACACCACATCCATTGTCCCTTCGGAGGCTGAGACGTGTTTCAAATCTCCAGAAAGCGTTTGTCTGATCCTGCCCAGCCCAAGCCTTCCACCTGAGACAAAAGCAACCTTTGGTGGCCCTGGGACCATAGGGACCGCATAGCTCCCCCGAGGGCTTTCAGGGATAGCACAGCCTTGGGTCAGAATGTCCAGCAGGAACCTCTCATGTCCCGCTGCCAGGGACGCACATCTGTGCAGACCCCATCCACCCCACACCGATGCTAGAGTGTCCCAGGCCTCCTCCCACGGAACAGAGGCTGCCGGGGTCCGTGATTCAACCCAAATGCTCTCTGTTTCCCTCAACAGACATCCCTTAACAAGCTCCTGGAGGCGCTAGGGAAGGCAGAGCCCTTCTTCATCCGCTGCATCCGTTCCAATGCTGAAAAGGTGAGTGGCTCTCCAGTGTTCCGGAGGAGAAAGCCTATGCTGGACGCTTAGGGGTGTCGGTGTCCCTGCATCCAGCCCCAGCCTCCACGCAGGATGGGGGACGGTGCCGTGGTCCATCCAGAGGCAGCCAGGGATGAGGGGTTATTGGGAGGCAGTGAGGGTGGCCCAGGTAGCCATTCAAGAACAGGGACATCGGCCGGGCACAATTGCTCACACCTGTAATCCCAACACTTTGGGAGGCCAAGGCGGGCGGATAATGAGGTCAAGACATCTAGACCATCCTGGCCAACATGGTGAAACCCCGTCTCTACTAAAAATATAAAAATTAGCTGGGCATGGTGGCACCCGCCTGTAGTCCCAGCTACTCCGGAGGCTGAGGCAGGAGAATTGCTTGAACCCGGGAGGCGGAAGTTGCAATGAGCCGAGATCGTGCCACCGCACTCCAGCCTGGGCCACAGAGCAAGACTCCATCTCAAAAAGAAAAAAAGAGCAGGGACGTCATCTGGAACACGGAGGGGCCCAGAGAAGGTTTGATCAGGGAGCTACAGGTTGGGGGTGCTCTTCAGATACATCCCAAAGAGTAGCCGCTGCAGGGAGTGTTCTGGAAGGCACGGGCTGAGGTTACACAGCAACTGAGTCTCAGACGCACACACAGCCCGCTGCTCACATTGTTAGTTTCTAGAGAGATGCTCAGAGCCCCGGTGGGAGCACCAGTGGGGGCCCCAGCCCAGGCTCAGCACTGGCCCTGGGCTTCTTTTACCCCAGAGGTCTACTCTGTCCCTGGAAGGACAGCTCAGGGACTTTGCCAGGGACTCAGCAGGGATGTGGGCTCCCAGACCAATGTGAGCACACAGCCAGGCAGGAACCTCCTGCCAGCTGTACCCAGGGAGACGCCTCACCGTGCACCTTCGGTCCCGGACCGTGCCAGTGGATTCTTCTCTATGAGGAGGGCCGTTCTGTGCACTGGAGGCTGTCAGCCAGCATCCCTGGCCGCCACATCCACCCCAGTCATCACCACCCTCCCCATTCTCTCCCATTCGTCTTTTTTTTTTGAGACAGAGTCTCCGTTTGTCACCCAGGCTGGAGTTCAGTGTTGTGATTTCAGCTCACTGCAGCCTTGATCTCCCAGGTTCAAGCCATGCTCCCGCCTCAGCCTCCCAAGTAGCTGGGATTACAGGTGCCCACCACGCCCAGCTAATCTTTGTGTTTTTAGTAGACACGGGGTTTCACCATGTTGGCCAGGCTGGTCTTGAACTCCTGATCTCAAGTGATCCACCCATCTCAGCTTCCCAAAGTGCTGGGATTACAGGTGTGAGCCACCTCGCCCAGCACCGTTTGTCTATGACGACACCATGCCTTACCCCTCACTGCCCACCAGGGTGAAGTCCAGACCCCTCAGCTCCTGGCTTAAAGCTCACTGCGGCAGCCGAATTTCCAGCCTCTTCTCTCCTCTGGCAGGAAGCATCTCCCTATGTCCCCATCAACCCCTTGGCTTCCTCCTCCTCTGGGCCTCCACCCAGCTGCTCCCGCCTGTTCCCTCCTCAGGCCTCAGCGCAGCATCTCCCCTCTCCTGGGACACTCCCGTGGGATGCTGGGTTTTGTCCACCCATCACATGTGTGTGGCTTCTGCCCCAGCCTAAGCTCTCCTCTCCACCAAATCCCCAGCACTTACCCTGGTGCCTGGCACAGAGAAAAGCCCAAAACACATTTGCATTTGGGTTCTTTTTCTTTTTCTTTTTTTTGTTACGGAGTTTCACTCTTGTTGCCCAGGCTGGAGTCCAATGGCTTGATCTTGGCTCATCACAACCTCTGCCTCCTGGGTTCAAGCAATTCTCCTACCTCAGACTCCTGAGTACCTGGGACTACAGGCATGCGCCACCACACCCAGCTTCGTTTTTTTTTTTCTTTAATAAATTTAAATGGCTAGAAATGCAGTCTCACTCTGTTGCCCAGGCTGGTCTCGAACTCCTGGCCTCAAGTGATCCTCCCATCTTGGCGTCATTCCAGAAAGAGTATCTGGAACAAGGAAGGACGCCTTGTCCAGGGGCTCCTGACTGCTGTGCCGTAGGACATTCCCAGGTCGGTTAGCCAGCACCCACGTGTGCCCCCTGACCCCATCTGTGTTCAGGATCCCAAGGGGCAGGGGTCGCGTGGGAATCTGCCCTCATCTCTCAGTTCCCAGGCCTGGGCATCCTGTCAGGCCCAGGGCACCTACCTGATCTCTCGCATTCCTGTTTCAGAAAGAGCTGTGCTTTGATGACGAGCTGGTCCTGCAGCAGCTGCGCTACACAGGCATGCTGGAGACCGTGCGCATCCGGAGGTCAGGGTACAGCGCCAAGTACACCTTCAAGGTAGGCCACGCACACACATACCTGGACACACCTGTCTCATGGCCAAGGCGATCACCTGCCAAAGAGAGCTCCTCTCTGGAGTGTAAACCCTGCTGGCTGGGTATCGTGGCTCATGCCTGTAATTCCAGCACTGTGGGAGGCTGAGGTGGGTGGATCATCTGAGGTTGGGAGTTCAAAACCAGCCTGGCAAATATGGTGAAACCCTGCCTTTACTAAAAATACATACACACAAAATTAGCCAGACATGGTGGTGCATGCCTGTAATCCCAACTGCTTGGGAGGCTGAGGCAGGAGAATCGCTTGAACCCAGGAGACAGAGGCTGCAGTAAGCCAAGATCATGCCATTGCATTCCAGCCTGGCCAACAAGAGCGAAACTCTATCTCAAAAAAAATTAATTAGGCCAGGCATGGTAGCTCACGCCTTTAATCTCAGCACTTTAGGAGGCCGAGGCGGGCGGATCACCTGAGGTCAGGAGTTCAAGACCAGCCTGGCCAACATGGTGAAACCCTGTCTTTAAAAAAAAAAAAAAATTAATTAATTAATTAATTAGCTAGTTAAAAAATAAAAATCCACCAGATTATTTTATGCCAGGGTTTTTCCACCGCAGTACTGTTGGCATTTGACTAGATCATTCTCTCCTTGGGGGACAAGTTTGGTCCACAGAGGTGGCTGGCCCCGAGACAAACTTGCAAAGATACAAAATGAGGGTTTTTTTGCTTTGGTTTTGTTTTGGGCCAGGGTCTCACGCTGTCACCCGGGCTGGAGTGCATTGGTCCAATCACGCTGACTGCAGCCTCAACCTCCTCGGACTCAGGTGATCCTCCCACCTCAGCCTCCCAAGTAGCTGGGACTACAGGAGCTGGCTATCGTGCCTGGCAAAATTTTTGTTTTTGTTTTTGTTTTTTTGTAGACATAGGGTCTCACCACGTTGCTCAGGCTAGTCTCAAACTCCTGGGCTCAAATAATCCTCCTGCCCCGACCTCCCAAAGTGCTGGGACTATCACCGTGCCCAACTAACTTATATTTTGTAGAGACAGGGTTTTGCCTTGTTTCCTGGGCTGGTCTCAAACTCCCGACCTCAGGTGATCCGCCCACCTCGGCCTCCCAAAGTACTGGGATTGCAGGTGTGAGCCACCACGCCTGGCCAGGCAGCACTAATGACATTTGGAGTCGGATCGTTGTTCACAGCCGGGGCCGTCCTGGGGGTGGTACAGTGTTGAACGGCATTCCTGGTCTCTGCCTGCCAGATGCCAGTAGCACCCCTGCCCCGACCTATCCCTATTGTGGCAACTCAGGATAGCTACAGACATCCCTGAATATTTCCAGTGGTTCACGTGGCCCAGCTGGAGCCCCTGCCTCAGCCAGGTGCGGTGGCTCATGCCTGAAATACCAGCAGTTTGGAAAGCTGAGGCAGGCAGATCACCTGAGGTCAGGAGTTCAAGACCAGCCTGGCCAGCATGGTGAAACCCCGTCTCTACTAAAAATATAAAAATTAGCCAAGCATGGTGGCAGACACCTGTAATCCCAGCTACTCAGGAGGCTGAGGCAGGACAATCACTCAAGCCTGGGAGGCAGAGGTTGCAATGAGCCAAGATGGCTCCACTGCACTCCAGCCTGTGCGACAGACTACGCCTCTGTCTCAAAAAAAAAAAAAAAAAAGAGGGCCAGGCATGGTGGCTCATGCCTATAATTCCAGCACTTTGGGGGACCAAAGCAGGTGGATCACCTGAGGTCAGGAATTAAAGACCAGCCTGACTGACATGGTGTAACCCTGTCTCTACTAAAAATTAAAAAAAAAAAAATTAGCCAGGCGTGGTAGTGCACGCCTGTAATCTCAGCCACTTGGGAGGCTGAGGCAGGAGAGTCGCTTAAACCCGGGAGATGGAGGTTGCAGTTAGCCAAGATCATGCCACTGCACTCCAGCCTGGCCAACAAGAGGGAAACTCCATCTCAAAAAAAATTAGCCAGGCAAGGTGGTGTGCACCTGTGGTCCCAGCAACTCAGGAGGCTGAGATGGGAGGAGCACTTGAACCCAAGGAGTTTGAGGCTACAGTGGGCTATGACTGAGCCACGGCACTCCAGCCTGGGTGGCAGAGCAAGACCCAGTCTCAGATTTAAAAAAACAAAAAATAGAGGTCTGGTGCAGTGGCTCTCACGCCTGTAATTAACACTCTGGGAGGGCAAGGCAGGCAGATTCCTTAAGCTCAGGAGCTCAAAACCAGTCCGGGCAACATGATTGAACCCCGTTTCCACACCAAAGTACAAAAGCCAGGCATGCTGGCATGCAACATACTTCCAGTCCTTGGGGGACTGAGGCAGGAGGATTCCTTGAGCCTGGGAGGTTGAGGTGCAGTGAGCCATGTTTACACCATGCACTCTAGCCTGGGCAGCAGAGAGACTCTGTCTCAAAAATAAAAGACATGTTCCTCCAGCTGTAATCCAACTCCCTCACAAGTCCTAGACTGTAAGCTCAATCACAAGGGTGGCCCCAGTTCCCAGCCACCTCTACTGTCTAAAAGATCCAGCACCTTTTGTCTGCAGTGGTATTTCTTAAGATTACAGACTATTGGCTGGGTGCGGTGGTTCATGCCTGTAATCCCAGCACTTTGGGAGGCCAAGGTGGGTGGATCACCTGAGGCCAAGAGTTCAAGACTAGTCTGGTCAACATGGTGAAACCCTGTCTCTATTAAAAATACAAAAATTAGCCGGGCGTGGTAATGTGCAACTGTAATCCCAGCTATTCAGGAGGCTGAGGCAGGAGAATCGCTCAAGCCCGGAAGGCAGAGGTGGCAGTGAGCCGAGATGGTGTCACTGCACTCCGGCCTGGGCGACAGAGCAAGACTCCATCTTTAAAAAAAAAAAAA